GCCCGTCTGGAGAAGACGTGCTCGCCTACTTCAAGAAGCTCGGGGTCGACAGTTCGGCCATTGGGGCCGTCGAGGAGGCGGAGCGCAAGGCTGCGGAAACCGCGAAGAAGAAGGTGCCCACCGCCCAAGCCGCGCGCTGGAAGGTGGAGAACCTCAAGACGAGGGTGGGGAAGCTGGAGTCTCGAGTCAAGGACATCAAGACGCAGCAGGACACCCTCGCCAAGGAGCTGGCAGAGGCCAATGAGGCAGCGGTCAAGGCTCGGGCGGACCTTGAGCAAGCCCAGGCCATGCTGTGCCAGGCCCACGTGCGGGAGTTCGACAACCCGTTGCAGGCCATCTCGGCCGGATTGGATGAGTCCGTCTTCCAGTCCCCTGAGGGCAAGGCAGCGCTGGAACTGCTCCAGAAGCTCCAGCACGTGGCCGATGAGAGCAAGCGTGCCGCTGACGCTACTCCGGTTGCTGGTAGGGCTCCCGCTGCTGAGCCGGCTGGCCGCCAGCCAGGTGCTGGAGAGCTCCCCGGGCAAGAGGTCCCAGCCAGGGATGGCGATGACGACGACATGGACATGGGAGCCTTGGACGATCCAGACTATGAGCGGAAGCAGGAGGCCTTCACTCAGGCAGCTGCCGACCTCCGCTCGGCGCAGGAGGCGCACCGTGAGGAGGCCAAGCGCAAGTACCGAGAGGCCGCTGCAGCCTTGGGCCTCGCGGTCAAGAAGCCGAGACGGCTTTGACTTGGACAGCCTCACCAGGTTCTGGGACTTCAACGTTGTGGATGTGGAGTGGAGCGGGCTTGGTTTTGAGGTGCCTGGCCTGCTGCCCAGGCCGTGGCAGTCGCTGTCTGGAGGGCTGGAGCAGCCCAGGCGTCGTCGCGAGCGTGGGGGTGGAGTAGAGCGTCCCGGGCGCTGCACCTCCGCACCTGGAGGAGGGGCACGAGGCCCAGAGCCCACTCCCTATCGAGACGCTCCTCGGCAGGCAGTGGCGGTGCCGGCAGGGGCATGCAAGAGGCCTCAACCCAGGACGGTTGGGATCCCTATCGACGTTGGTGCGTCGGTCTCTGCCATCCCAACGGCCCCTCTCGATGAGCCGAGGGGTAGAAGTAGAAATGCTGCCTCATCCACGTCTGTGGCAGACCAGACCAGTTCGTTGATTCTTCTTACCTATAACTGCAACTCCTGGCGTCCTGGCTTGGAGTTCCTGGAGTGGAGGAAGAACGATTGCAATGAAGTGCCAGACGTGGTGATGCTGCAGGAAGCCCGTTTGGCATCTACCACGGCCCACGCATCGGCGATGTCGTGGGCTCGGCAGGCAGGCTTCCAGATGGCATCTTCGGCAGCACTGGTCACTGGCGACGGCGCGCTCGAGAACTCGGGCGGGGTGGCCTGCCTCACCTCCAGCCGATTCGGCAGCGATCATCACGTGCAACGGGTTCCAGAGGAGCTGCGCCACAGGATTTGTGTTCAGAAGGTGAACTTTGGTCTGCCAGTTCCTGTCTACATCATCTCGCTCTACCTGGTCACGAACGACGGGTTAGGGGAGGCGAACATAGGAATCCTTGGCGAGCTGGCTGAGATCCTCGCGAATCTCGACGGCCCGTCCTTCGTCGGCGGCGATTGGAACATCAGCCTGGACGTCATGGAAGCGACAGGCTGGGCATCGCCGCTCAAGTTTCAATTGGTGGGCCCCCCTGAGGCCACCTGCCACCAGCACGTCTATGATTTGTTTGCCATGTCGCACTGACTCCTCCCTTACGTCTCCACTACTCTAGCTCTCCTCGATACTCCGAGGGGTCCGCACGTGGCGACGAAGATGGTGGTGCGAGGTTTGACGGGACAGGCGAAGATCTGGCAGCGGGTTGTTCCTGCTGGTTCTTCGATCGAGCCTTCGGTGGACCCGACTCGTCCCGGAGTTGTGGCTTCTCTTTCTGTTCCTCCCTTCTCTCCTCCTCCTCCTCCTCCTCCTCCTCCTCCTCCTCCTCCTCCTCCTCCTCCTCCTCCCTCTCCTCGGCATGGATTCTCTTGGGCGTGGTGCGCCGGAGAACTTCCGGGGGATCCCTGCGGGGCTTTGGCGCAATGGTTTGATTTTGCCGAGCAGTCCCTCTGTGCCAGCCAGGCTGTCCCAGCCAGCGATATCAGTCGGCATTCCGGTCGGAAGCATGGCTGTACATTTGCATTAGTCCCCCTCACGGCGACTTGGGGTCGTGATTTAAAGAGGCGGTCGACGCCATCGACCGTTCAGTGGTTGCAGTTCCGTCGACTAGTTTGCTAGCTTTTGGCTTCGAAGACGGATGGGAGGGCGACTCGTGGGAGGTTGGTTGGGATGATTGTCGCCATGGGCGCCTGTCTCGGCACCGCAGGCGAGGCCGGGCTCAAGGGTCGCTCGGGCCTCGCTGTGGTGAATTTTTGCTCCAGGACGAAGCCTCGGGAGTGTGACCAGCGGGTCGCTGCAGACGCAGCGGCCAGCAAGAAATCGTGGCATGAGTTTGCGCAGGAGTCGGTTTTGAGGGGAGGTCGAGTGGCCCACCGCTTCTCGAAAGGCCCTCACCCCAACCCTGCTCCTCCCCTCGGCTGCGCGGAGGAAGGCTCGCAGCCTCTGGCTGGCCAGGAGGCCTTGGAAGCGCTGCTGGAGGAATGGATGCCAATTTGGTCCAAGCCATCGCGGGAGGGGGAATCTCACCCCCGGGGCTGGGCAGTCGTCGACGAGCTGCTTCCCATCACAGCGGATGATGTGCTGGGAGCTCTTTCTGATTTTGCGAAGGGCACGGCCCTCGGATGGGACGGTTTCCATCCCCGTGTCATCAAACAGCTGCCGCGAGAGTTCACGCAGCGATTCGCTGACAGTCTGAACGCCTGGGAGCAGGACCCCAAAGTTACTGAACTTTGGTTGGTGCTTATTGTTTTTCTCGACAAGGCGACTGGGGGAGTGCGGCCGATTGGCCTTCTTCCGTTCGTGGCCCGGGTGTGGTCCAAGATTCGCTTTCGGGAGTGCGCGAAATGGGAAGAAGCTATCAGCTCGCCGCTCTTTTGGGGCCAAAGCAGGGCCACGTCATGTGACAAAAGCGCATGGCTTCACAATGCTCTGTCGCACTACGCTCGTTTAGTCCATCTCGAGTCGGGCTCGGCCTTTCTCGATTTAAAGAAATATTACGAGCACATTTCTCATGATGAACTTCGGGCGGCCGCGGCCCATGCGCGATTCCCCGACGTTTTGCTCCGGGCATTGTGCTGCGTTTATCGGGCTCCCCGCCGCGCCGTCCTGCACGGCTACACGAGCAGGCCCTTCGAGGCCAACGGAACCGTGATTGCGGGTTGTTCGTGTGCCACATCGCTCGCCAAGCTAATGTTGTTGGCGCTCCTTAAGCAAGCGGCAGTTGCGGCACCGATAGTGGTGCTCAAAAATGTGATCGATGATGTCTCCTTCCACGCGGTGGGGGGACGCGACACTGTGGCAAAGCAGCTTCCTGTAGCTTTTAACCGGGTCGTTGACGGAGTCACGGCCATGGACTTGCCGATTTCTTGGGGCAAGGCTGGGTTTCTTGCTAGTTCCAGCGGGCTCGAAGGGCAGTTGTGCAAGGGCTGGCCACTGGAGCTGAAGGATCGTTCGCAATCTCACCGAGACTTGGGCGGGGACGCCACGGACGGCAGGTTCAGGCGAGTGCCCGTTCACATGGATAGATATCTTTCGGCCCAGCGCAGGGCTCTTCGCCTGCGCGCCCTTCAGAGAGGGGGCGCGAAGATTTTTCAAGTGCATCGCGCCGGCCCGTCTGCGGTCGCGCTTTGGGGATCTTGTGTGCATGGGCTTGCCGATTCGCGTCTGCACCAGCTTCGTGTGTTAGCGGCGCAGGCGGAAGGCAGGCTTCCTCGCGGAGCGTCGACGGGCCTCTTCCTAAGCTGTCCAAAGCGCGGCTGGAAGCGAGACCCGTTGGTGATCACGTCGATGGATGTTGTAAGGCAGTACGGAGAGGTGCTTTGGGATGGCCTCCTCCCAACGGCCGTCCTCCAGTGTCTTTTCGACAACGCCGTTGAGCAATCGGCGAAGGAACGCCCATGGGTGTCCTGTAGGGACCCCGTGGCTGCGCTCGTGCTCACGGCGCAGCGTGTGGGATGGAGTTTTCGGAGTCCGACGCGTGCGGTTGACGACCTGGGGCGGCAGTGGGATTTGCAATGTTATTCCCCTGCTTGCGTGTGGGACCAGATTGCGCACTCGGCCAGGCGAGCTTCGGACGTTAGGGCGCTCGCTCTGCAGGACAGGGGGTGCTGGTCGTCCCCGATCTTCTGGCGGCCGATTCTCGAGGCGATGTTCTGTGATTGGAAGCCCGGTTGGGAGAAGCATCAGCAGTCTTCTCTCCGGGGCCTGCTGGCAGGCACTCACTGGTCGCAGGGGAGGTTGCACGACCAAGACGCGACGGTTTCCCACATTTGTTTGCTCTGCCAGGAGGAGCGTGGCTCCCTGCATCATAGGTGTTACCGCTGCCCTGGCCATGAAGCCTGGAGGCGGGACAATATCTCACCAGAGCTTGCCAAGGCTGCGGCCGTGGTTGCATGCGCCCCTCCAGCCTGGAGCGAACGATTCGCTAGAGGCATCTTCCCTGAGCCAGGGCTGTGCGTTTCAAGGCCCGTTTTTGACCCCCTCTGGGCCCTGCGCGGGACAGGCGTCGAGCTGCCGATCCGTCTGGATGGAGGGTTCGTCTTCACAGATGGGTCTGGTCTCAATGTCAGATTCCCGACTCTCCGCACCACGGGATGGTCTTGTGTCTTTTTCTCTGCGGAACGGGCGTTCTTGGGAGCTATCTATGGTGTAGTGCCACCAGAGTGTTCGACCGCATTTTCTGCACGAGACGGAGAAGATTATGCAATGTATATGGTCGCCCAGCACGTGTTGGGCAAATTCTGTGTCTTAGCAGATTGTAGGGCAACGCTGTCGTGCTGCACCTGCCCGCGCACAGCGACGTCGGTCGCGAACCCTCGCGCCCACTTGTGGCGGAGAGTGCACGGAAGAGAAGATTTCTCTGCCTTGGAGTTTAAGCACGTGAGAAGCCACTGCTCGATGGTACAGGTGCGGGAGGGAATTTTCTCGCAATTCGAGCTGGAAGGAAATAGGTCAGCAGATGAATACGCAAAGTTCGGCGCTAGCTTCGGGGCTTCGTCTGAGAGCGACGCGTTGTTTCTCGAGGGCTGTTTGGACCTAGCGTCGCAAGCGTGCAAGGCCACGACCAGGCTTGCCACTCGGTGTGCCAAAGAGAACATCGTAGACCATCAAGGGCTCGATGCGATTCGTTTAATTGATTTTGGCGCGGCTGATGTTCCTCCAGGATTATTGGTCGACCTGCCCGCCGCTCCCGAGGCCCCACGCCATGCCCCTGGTCCTCTTCCCTCTCCTCCTGCTGACCCGCTCCCTGCTGCTGCTGCTGCTGCTGCTGCCAGGGTGGTGGTGGTGGAGGCTGAGAGGGAGAACGGTGGCGTGGAAGACGCGGATGATGAAGGTTACGGTCTCGGGCCTAGGCGCCCATGGCTGGTCAACCAACACTCGGTTCTAGAAGCAGGTGTCGCTGGGCAGGAGCCGATCCTTTTTTGCACGACGTGCTACAAGTTCGCTGTGCATCGTAAACAACGGGGCCTTTGCAGTCCATGCCTTGGCCCTCGGCGGGTCCCTGGCGGCTTGGCGTACACCGTCCGGAAGCGGCTGCGTGGGCGCATGCACCCCACGGAGG